TCGCTCCGAACTTTTGCAACTTAAAAACCATTGGGTACGAGATTTCGTCAGCATTCCGGTGACGCTCATTTACCTCTGCCGATCGTCTTTTAATACGATGAACCAGGCAGAGAGCACCACGGACGTATATTCCAGATCCTATCAGTTTGTGTGAGTTTCTGACTGTTATATTGCTTTCTTCAGCTGAAGAAAAGATAACATTTTAAAGGCGGCTCTTCTGAGTGCCGTGAGAATCCAATTTTTGTCCCATTCTTTGCAGCTTGCAGATATCAAACTGCTACTGTTTCTCGGGGAAGCTCGCTTATTGTAGTTGTAATGTGGCTGATGTCTTGTTTAAATCTAGCCGTTGGTTCCTTTTCGGAAGATTCTCTTAACTTATGAAAGATGACTCACCTGTAAGAGAGGTCCGTTTTAGCAAAAATTAAATTAAAATTGTCTCCTGAAATCTCATTCCTACAGTCCGATTTGACGCCAGATGAGAAGGTCCAACTCTGATTCCTTTCTTTTCTGAGCAAAAATGTCAGCCCAACCTCGGTCTCAATTTGTCTCTTGATCACGTCATTCATACCTCCCGAGCTTTACTCCACCATAGTCTGTTTTTGCGTTGACATATGAATCCGGAGATGAAACCTTAGATTCACATACCTCAGTACTGTCCACAACTTGTTTCTTTTCAACTTACTTTTTCTTTTATCTTTAAATCACGCCTAAATCTTTGTTTGTTGTCCATTGGGGTCCACCTTCATGGTCTCATTTAAATCTAAGGCTTAACCCAGGATAGCTCCACCCGCTTACCTTGGAACTGAAAGTTGCTCACCAGCTGCTGTCTGTTCATCTAAAGACAGCTTTATAATTATGTTCATCAACCCAATTGCCTCGAGAACTAGCAGAGATTTGTGTTACATTGTGCTATGAGTAACCAACGTTACAGTGGCTTTTAGCACCTTTTATTTGCAGCCGCTGTGAGTCCAGTAAACACGCTGTGATACCACTTGTTGCAGTTGTCACATCGCATTCTATTGTCCACCGATAAAAGGGATGCTGGTCTACCACGACAAAGTTTTACCTGCGCTATTAAAAGTGTCGATTGAGAGAACAGCCAAAAAACTAATCTCTAGAATAAGTGATGTTTGAGGCCTCAAGGTGATCGACACTGAACACAAAACGCTAAGGATATATTCGCTGTGACTGAAAAGGAAAAACCGAAGTTGGAAGTAAGATAATTATTCATGAAATTTCGAAAGAATTGCAACAACTTAGCGTGTCCAATGATTTTTTAACTTCATAGTATTCATGTTTTAAAAATGAATCTAAACTGGTTCTTCAAATAGTTCAAGTTTTTACAGACGTTCAAGCGATCAACATAAGTTGTTAGGTTCCCGCACAAAGTTGTGTAATCCGATAACGACAACGTTCCTAATGCTGAAAATTATAGACTTGTAGTATCGTTCAAAGTCACCATTTTAACTTCAGTCATTATTATTATTATCTACAAACAGTTTATTGGTGTTAAAGCATTGCAAAGAAATCAGTTCGTGTTTCTTCAGAAATTAAATTATACCCAAGTTTTGTTAATGTTTGCATAATATTCGCTATATTTAAATAGAATTTGTAGTATTTTAAAAGGAAAATTAATTCCAAGTGAAAAGATGAAGGGAAGAAAAGTTATATATGAAGGCAGTTTAATAAGTGTGTTTGTGAGACAGAATGAGAATAAACGTCAATAAATGTATTACGAAATAAATAAGAAGATAAATCGTCAATGTAACTAAATTTGATGGTAGAATAAGAGTTTGTGCAGCAAAAGATTAAGATGGTGCGATAAAAATCTTAGTTAATTGTAAATGATAATCATCAAATGTCAACTTGGGTGGGTCATCTATACGTGATGAAGATAAAATGAATTCAAAAAGTCAATTTATTTAGGTGCAATTTAAGATAGTGTGTCTTTAACCATAAACTTCAGATGGTTAGGAATAAAAGTTTATGTAGAAAAAAGGCCGGAGAGAAAATATATTGACCAAGACTAGACCCAGCATTAATATCATCTTGTGATTTTTACCAAGCGATATAGGCATTAGGCGAGATTACCTATTATCTAGATAACCTAGACAAAGTTGTAGTGGCAGTCAGTACAAGATCTTATCCTAAATGTAACAGTACGTAAAGTTAATAATGATACACTATGTGATAATAACACTTTAGATCAAAGGTAACAAATAGCATTTACTACGGAATGGTTTAATAAACAACGAAAACGAAAGCAACTGTTATTGAATGAACGCTACTTGAATGTTCCTCCGTGGATAATAAACACAGAGTTAAGTTGACTAAAAAATGTTCCGCTTCGCGTTTGGAAGCAACTGAGTGAATCAAAACATAAATCTGCTAGCGTTATTAAGTAAGAATTCAAACCGAAATTCCCACATAATGTAGAGTAGCTTAATAGGATATTTTAACACTATTATGGTCTTTAATCACAGGCTGTAACTAATAAAGCAGAAATATGAATGACTGAAAGAGAAATTATTCGAATATCAACGATTGTGTACATATTTATCGACTGGTTGACAATGTTAAATCGGGTTTGAGGAGGATAAACAACAGATATAAAGTGTTAATTTGGCTGCAGATAGTGTCATACATAAACAAAGAAAACACGTGGTCTTTATTTTTCTTCGTTACACAGATTATTGCACACACGTGCAGTCGTGTAAACCCTCCCTAGCACAAACTTCGACACAAGTACGCTCGACTTAAACTCTAAGTGCTTGATAAAAAAAGATCACACGACGCATAGCAAAGAGAAGAGAAAACAAATGAAACATATCACAAAAGAAATGTTCTATATGGAATATAAATAATGACAAAGAATAAAAAACGCCGTTTGCAAAAACAATGTATTGATGTTGCATTTTTCACGTATATAAGTGAATAAATATGTGGAATCACTGTTCAGCGATTATAGCCCAATGCATTCTAAAAATGACAATGTCAATTAAAACAACGATAAAGATTGCTTCCTTACGCCTGTTACTCCCCGTTCGCGCGTTACGAAGGTCCCCGCTTCGGATCCCGTCTGCCCAATCATGGAAGCGCACCACTGAGGAGTCCCACACTAAGACGAAACAAACGTCCAGGTCTTTAATGGTGGTATAAAATTGTTCGGTTCACGATCTCAATTAAAATTCTCATTATTAATTTGCGTGCAATACATTTCATTCATTTTATGCACTTTTTCATCATATTTTGAATAATGCAAAATTTCACTCTTGTCTTCTTTACTCGGATCGATATGAATTCAACAGTTGTTAACTGCCTGGAATTACAAATTAAGTCTTTTAATACTTGAATCATTGTATGCGAATCAATCAACTGATATTTTAACGAATAAGGAGAAGCTTGTGGCAAAACAACTGTTCATCTCTATGCTTCGAATACTGGATGCAATACCTGTTGGATCCATTTTGCAAGTGAATATCCCTCCATGCATACACTTGTGATTTCTTCCTTACGCGTTCTTTGTTCGTATATGTTGTTAACATTTTTGATGCTAATTAAGACTGTGACGTTTAATTTTCTTGGTTTCATTAACGTTCTTCATTGAGTTTCTATGTTCCTTACTGAACTGTATCTAGTTTGTTTTAATTGCTATTATTCTGGTGTCTGCCATATTGACTGCTCGCTATTTGATTGTGCGGTTTGATTTTGACTGGGATTGTGCATCTTTGATTGTAATTTGGAGCACTTTCCCAGATATTGAAACACTGTGTTATAAAACAGCTGCTCAGACAGAATTTTACTTGATCTATCCAGAAAGGATAGAATAACGCTTACCTTTTGGTGTTTTTGATTGAATATTTTGGTATCAATTGTTGGTTGAATGACCAGGTGATAATATTCGTTTAGAACCGTATTGCTCAAAGTACCCTGTTTTACTTTCGATTGGGGCACGAGTATATAAACTATTCTTCGTTTATTCGGCCACATCCAGACCTATTGAAATCTAGGTTTGGATCTTACAATACCAGAATACACAGATTTTTTGGGCAAAGTTGTGGAGTTAGTTATAATCCCAGAGTAAGATTATCAATAAACAATAGCAATTTACTTTGATTTGTTTAAGACAAATTAATGATTATCAGAAATTTGCAATTGAACATTAGAGCAGTTTATGTTGGTATTTCTTAGATTCGTAAAATTTTAAAATGAGTTTACTTTGATTATATTAGAAAATGTTAACTTGCTTTGAATAACATTATTGTTTAAGCAATATCTTAATTTCTGCCACTGGCAAAAGAAACTAGTGCCAAAATTCCAGATACCTTCGGTGTACTGGATAAATTTGTATGCATACCATTGCATGTAGTTTTCATGTATTTCTTCTATTTGCATCTTCAATTTTTTCATTATAAACAACTAAACTAACGAGTATTCAATATCTGTTTGGTCTTAGGATAGAACGAGTTAAGAATTTAGGGAATTGAAGATCGTGCAGTATAGTCTGAGAATTTCAGTTGGACGATATAGATGGTTGAATCATGATCCAGTGGTTAAATTGTAAGAATACTCAGAACAAGACCTACAGATTTTGTGCTATTTATCATATACAGTTGAAAATATTGGGTGTTATTTAGTACTGAAATAAAAGGAAAATAGTTTTCTAATTCTTCATGGTTTTCACTGACTCTTCAGTATATCTTTGTTTATGATTGACTCGTGATTATACTTGTTATTGGCTTCCGAAAATGTTCATAATCAATCGTATAAGTTAAAATAACAGTCCTTAGCTGTGATAAATCTGGAAACAGAATACACATGGTTTCCTTTTGATACAATAACCGTCAATAAAGAGAATGCTGGTGAGCGGCCTATGCTCCTCCACAAGGGGTAACAGGCGTAAGTAAGTAAGTAAGTAATGTCCGATCCACTTCCAACGTCTTTTCCTAATTTCCTCTTCAGCTGGAAGCTGATTTGTCCTCTCCCATAAAACGCTGTTGCTGATAGTATCCGGCCAGTGGATGTTGAGTATTTTGCGTAGACAATTGTTTATAAATACTTGTACCTTCCTGATGGTGGCCGTAGTAGTTCACCACGTTTCAGCTCCATACAGTAGGACTGTCTTGACGTTCGTATTAAAGATTATCACTTTGGTATTAGTTGAGAGTTGTTTTGAGTTCCATATGTTCTTCAATTGTAGAAATGCTGCCCTTGCTTTGCCAATCCTTGCCTTTACGTCTGCATTCGACCCTCCTTGTTTATGAACCATGCTTCCCAGGTACTTGAATGTTTCCATCTCTTCCAGAGTTTCTCCATCAAGTGTGATTGGGTTGGTGTTCTCCGTGTTGCATTTGAGAATCTTGCTTTTTCCTTTGTGAATGTGGAGGCCTATCGATGCGGAGGCTGCTGCTACATTTGCATTTGTTCGTGTGTATGAGAGAGAAGAACTAGGTCATCTGCGAAGTCCAAATCATCTAATTGATCATGAGAAGTCCATTGTATTCCGTATTTCCCCTCAGATGTCGAAGCCTTCATAATCCAGTCAATCACTAGAAGGAAGAGGAATGGGGAGAGTAGACAGCCTTGTCTGACTCCGGTCCTTACTGGAAATGCATCTGTTAGCTGTCCTCCATGCACCACTTTGCACTGTAGTCCATCGTATGAGTTTTAGATAATGTTGACAATCTTTTCAGGAACTCCATAGTGTCGAAGAAGTTTCCATAATGTTCTCCTGTCCACGCTGTCAAACGCCTTCTCATGGTCAATAAAGTTGACGTATAGTGATGAGTTCCACTCAACTGATTGTTCAATGATGATCCGTAGTGTCGCAATCTGGTCTGTGCACGACCGATCCTTACGGAATCCAGCCTGATGATCCCTAAGTTCAGCGTCTACTGCGTCTTTCATCCGATTCAGCAGCACTCTGTTGAAAACTTTTCCTGGTACTGATAACAAACTGATGCCTCTGTAGTTCTCACATTGGCTCAGATCTCCCCTCTTTGGTATCTTGATGAGATATCCTTCTTTCCAGTCCGTTGGCACTTGTTCCTCTTCCCAAATCTTCTTGAATAGAAGGTGAAGCATATTTGCAGTTATTTCAATGTCTGACTTCAGTGCTTCTGCTGGTATATTGTCAGGTCCTGGCGCCTTCCCACTTTTGATTTGTATGATGGCCATCTTGACTTCTTCGATCGTTGGTGGAGTGATATCTATTGGAAGGTCAGTGTGGGCTGCTTCGATGTTCGGTGGACTCAATGGGGCTGGTATATTCGGCAGTTCTTCAAAGTATTCTACCCATCTTTTCCTCTGTTCTTCAATCTCAGTGATTGTCTTTCCTTCTTTGTCCTTGACTGGTCTCTCTGGTCTGCTATATCTCCCTGCCAATTTCTTCGTTGTGTCATATAGTTGTTTCATATTCCCTTCTCTTGCAGCTTTTTCCGCCGCCGTTGCTAGTTCTCCTATATATTTCTGCTTGTCGGCTTTAATGCTTTTCTTCACTTCTCTGTTTGCTTCTGCGTAGTCTGCTTGTGCTTTGACTTTCTCTGCTCGTGTTCGGCTGTTGTTAATTGCTAGTTTCTTGTTCTTCCTTTCTTGAATTTTGTCCAGGGTTCCCACAGAGATCCATTCCTTGTGATGATGCTTCTTAGGACCAAGAACCTGCTGACACGTTGAAGTTAGTGCTTCTTTTATCCCTTTCCAGTTGTCCTCCAAAATAGTTTCTTGTTCTTTCAGTAGATCCTGTAGAGCTTGGAACCTGTTGTTGAGAGTTATCTTGAATTCATGGAGCTTGTCAGTATCTCGAAGGAAGGCTGTATTGAACCTTTGTAGTGCTGTTTGTCCAGTTGTCCAGTCTTTCTTTAGCTTCAGTCTCATCTTGGCCACAACCAGGTGGTGATCTGAAGCTATGTCAGCTCCTCTCCGGGCTCTCACATCTTCCATTGATCTTCGGAATTTTTTGTTGATACAGATGTGATCAATCTGGTTCTCTGTGGTGTGGTCCGGTGAGATCCATGTAGCTTTGTGTATACGTTTGTGTGGGAATATTGTGCCGCCTATAACCAATTTGTTGAATGCACATAGGTTTGCAAGCCTCTCCCCATTTTCATTTCTCTCTCCTAATCCATGTCGTCCAATTACATTTTCATATCCTGTGTTGTCCACCCCAACTTTAGCATTTAGATCTCCCATCAGGATGGTGAGGTCCTTTCGTGAGCACTTCTCTATAATTGATTGCAGCCTTTCATGGAACTGATCTTTATCATCGTCGTTGCTATCATTAGTGGGTGCATAACATTGGATAATGTTCATTTTGATCCCTTGCTTCTTTGTTCTGAATGATGCTTTGATTATCCTGGGTCCATGAGATTCCCATCCCACAAGTGCATTTCGTGCTTCTTTGGACAGTATTAGAGCAACTCCCTGAGTGTGTGGAGCATTTTCCCCTTCGTGACTGGAGTACAGCAGCATCTCTCCTGTACCTAGCCTTTGTTGTCCAGTTTGTGTCCAATGGGTTTCGCTGATTCCGAGTACTGCCAAGTTGTATCTTCTCATTTCCATTGCTATTCGGCTGGTTTTTCCTGTCTCCCACATCGTCCGGACGTTCCATGTACCTATAAAGAGTGTTGCTCTGGTTGTTAGAAGGTGCATCGGTCTCGTGACTTCCGAAGAATTTCGGTTTTCATCATGAGACGTCATAATTATTCCTTCAAGTGCCAGAGCAGAGTTTAAATGGTTTGAATTATTTTTTCTGGTTAGCGTTTTTTTAGCGAGTTAGCTTTTCTACGGGATGGGGTCGCTAACCCCATGCCCAACCCTCCTCCTTTACCCGGGCTTGGGACCGGCAGTAACTCTAGAAGTGCTACAGGCGGAGTTGGATCGGACATACATTGAGGAAATCACCAATGTGCATCACGACTCAATCCCTAACTTGGAATCCAGAAGGGAAGCGCAAGAGAGGAAGGCCAAAGAACACACTACGCCGGGAAATAGAAGCCGATATGAAAAGGATGAATAGCAACTGGAAAGAACTGGAAAGGAAGGCTCAGGACAGAGTTGGATGGAGAATGCTGGTGAGCGGCCTATGCTCCTCCACAAGGGGTAACAGGCGTAAGTAAGTAAGTAAGTAAGCATTAGTGCAACTATTGGCTGAACCACTAGGAAAGTAAGTCGATACTTGTGTAATTTTCTCTTATCAATATTTCTTTACATTGACTGTAGGATGATCTCAATGATTGGTAAATTAATATTTTCAATGATAACTTTAACAAACCTACATAATGAAATATTCTACTCTGATTGTTAATTCAATGGATGTTTAATAATTGTCAATTTGTTTCATAGTCTACCATTGTTCAGGGGTTAAAAGTCATAGATATTACATATTAACTGAAATATATTCCTCATTTTAAAAAGCCAAGAACAGATGTTTTATTTTCAAGAATTTCAATAACTTGTATGTACTATCCTGATCAAATGCGCTTTGATAATAATAAATTCAGCTTAATAAAAATTTGGATACTAATTATGTTAAAGATGTGTAGACTTTTTAAGTACGATTCAACAGACAGATGACGATGATGAAAGGGCGAGCGTAGCATATTAGATCTGTGAAACTAAAGAACTCGTGAGTTATACAAGAACAGCCACTCCTACAAGGCTGAGTCAGGCCACCTGATCAGTCGAATTTCCGTTCACGCGTTCGTAAGACTGTCGTCTAATGGTCGAATAATTCAATTGTTCAGATATAGACAGCCACGGAGTTCGTACAAAGCCAATGCAATCTATTTCCCAGTCATCTACTAACTGAATGTTTAAAGAGTATGAGCCAGTTGTAACTTACTGAATTCTCCGAAAAGTCTTTAAAGATTAGCTGATATATAATGGTAATGGAATAACACTGTTTTCTGACCACACGATCTTTCAATTTGAACTTACATTAACCGTTAAAAACTGACGGAAATTATATAACGTGAATGCGGAGATACTTAGTCGAGTATTTATGGCTCGGCCATGTAGGCGTGGTTGCTCGATATTAAATATATCATTCTGTTTCCAGCACAAGTACTTGGACATCAACTTCTCACTGTGTAGATAAATATGGCGAGTAAAAAAACTGAACAATAACCGAATCATCCCAAAAGCAGGCACCTGGGTGTCAAACAGTTGACTGAGCTTTGTCAAGGTAGGGATGACCGAATGATATTGGTTAATTGCACGCCGTGAACCGGCCCATGCGACAGTAATCATAATGTGTTTCTTCAACCTATTCGAATGAATGCTTCTCTTCAATAACCCAATGTTTGTTCAGTACGGTCGCCAAAGTAGCTGCAGATCTCTGTTGCCACGAGAGAGTAACTTGTATTAAGTACTTACAGAGAAATATAAGCTTGAAGGTCACAACTCCGGTAGACCCCAATTATCGACATAGATCACCAAAGTTAGTAGTCTACAGATAAGAAACAAGTATGTGAACTGCCTAATATGAAAGACCAGTTTGAAACTAACATTGGTCAAGTTTTTGACTACTGTCGCTTCGTGCTCAAACTTATTATTCGGATTAAAGTAAAGCCTCCCTATCTAAGGACTTTCTTCACAAATTATCATTCACTTTGTTCTGGTGTGTGACGTGAGACATCAACGGTTATAAATTCTGATGCGATTGTTTCTGCTTTATATACTTACTATCCACGTATGACACTTGTTTCTAACCATGATGAAATAGTCACAATGGATTATGAGATTATGAAGGATCAAATACTCAAAATACGACGAAACATTATTACTACCAAACCAAAATATTAGTCTTCAGTCTTCAGTAATAAGGATAGGAGATCTAGTGACCTATTTTAATCCTTGCAGTTTGTTACACTGTGGAGGTCCAATCTCGTCTTGAATGTATCAACAGAAGGTGCTGATATTACGTGTTCTGGTAGAGAATTCCAGTAATTCACTACTCGGTGCGAGAAACGAAACTCCAGACGTAGATGATTTGATCTCGGTTTTTGGACTTTCTTTGAATGTCCTCTCAAATGATCAGCCCTAGACGGGAGGAAAAGATAGGACATGTTAGTACCAAGGTCATCGTTCAGGATACGATATGCCAATATTAGATCACCCCGTATTCGCCGGTAAGATAACGGAAATAAGTTGAGGTGTCTCAGTCTGTCTTCATAAGATAGGCTAGATAAGCCTTTTACCATTTTTGTCCCGCGGCGTTGGACTCGTTCCAACATATCCGCCTCATATTTGAAACAAGGACTAGCTGCTTGAATCCCATATTCCAAATGTGGCCGTACGAAAGTTGGGGATAATAATCTAAACATTTCCCCATCCAGATACCGGAAAGATCTACGAATAGACCATAATGCCCTATAGCCTTTTGCAGCAGCAGCCTTACAGTGACTGGTTGTTTTGAGATCATTACTTAGTATGACTCCTAAATCTTTATAGTTTCTTACTTTGGGCAACACTAGTCCACATATTGTGTAGTGATACGAATCATCGTAGTTATTTAATTGCATCACAACACTTTTATTAGGGTTTACTTCTAGTGGCCACCCATTCATCCATGCAACTAATGAGTTAAGATCTTCCTGTAAAACTATTCTGTCTGGCATACTATATATGGGTCTCCAAATCTTAATGTCATCGGCGAATAGTAGGACGGATGACTTAGCTATAGCTGGTAATTCATTTATATAAAGTAAAAAGAGAAGAGGACCTAAAATCGTGCCTTGGGGGACGCCACTTTTTACTGGTTCCCACGATGAGAGAGCCCCATTTACTCTTACCCGTTGTCTCCTTTCATGAAGAAAGTCACTTAGCCAGTCTATGACTGCATAATGAATTCCAAAACTTTCTAGTTTCAATTTAAGACCAGAATGGGAAACCTTATCAAAGGCTTTACTTAGATCTATGAAAATGACATCTACAGGAATATTGCGATCTTTTGCCTCAGCCCAATCTTCTCTTGCAATGAGAAGATTTGTCAAACATGATAGACCTTTTCGAAAACCATGTTGTTCCTTTGACAAAAGATCATGTCTTTCTACGTAGTTTATAACAGCCATCCTAATAATTTTTCCATTAGTTTTGCAACTGCACTAGTTAAGCTGACGGGTCGATAATTACTAACTAAATCCCTACCCCCAGTCTTATACACCGGACTGACTATTGCGTCCTTCCAGTCTCTGGGCAATCTGGACTGCCGTAGGGACATATCGAACAGCATAGCTAAGGGTTCAGCAATAACATCTGAGAGGGCTTTCATAATCCGAGGATGAATATCATCAGGACCACTAGACTTATCAGGTTTGAGATGCTGGAGTAAGCTTAAAACAGTTTCTTTCTTAATAACTACAAGGTCCATCAACAAGTCGCCACAATCACAATGAATAGGTGATCATTCCTCATTATTGGTAGAAAAAACTTTACTGAAATATTCCAAAAAAGCTTCCGCTTTTTCGGTATCATTTCTTGCCAAACCTAAAGGATTTTCTTGTATCAAAAGTGATGGTATTCCATCACTTCTCTGAGTTCGCCTCTTTATATACGAGAATAACCGTTTTGGACTATGTTTGCAATCCCTAACCAATTCTTTTTCGTATGACCGTCTAGTTCTACTAATTAACGCTTTACAATTATTTCTAATCTTACAATAACTAGATCTGTACTGTTCTAAGCCAGTAGAGATGAACATGTTCCAGTGTTTTTTTCTACACCTAAGAAGTTTCTTAACTTCTTTATTTATCCACGGTGGACTATTGTTCGGTCTACGTGGCACCAAGTATGGTATGAACGGGGACGTGACTGCACTAAACTTGCCTTTAAATACAGACCACGCCTCATCAACTGATGAGCTAGTATCTACTGACCAATCTATCTTAGTAGCACAATCCTGAATTTCTGGTATGTTAGCTCTCCATATGTTTGGGCGAGGCTTAATCTGATCGTATATCATATCGCTAGCTCTAAACGTGAATGATAAAACAGCGTGATCGCTATTTACTAACGGGGGAAGAATATTTAGGTTGGCAATATCCTCAGTCTCATGAGTAATTACCAAGTCCAACAGAGAAGAACCTTGGTTTACACCAAAACGTGTAGGTTTGGATACATGTTGTACTAGTGCATGTTCCATTAATGTTTCCAAGAGCCTGCTATCAAATGAGTTTATAGAGCATTTTGTGGTCATCTCAGTTCAACTAATGTCAGGTGCATTAAAGTCTCCTAATATCAAGCATCTGTTATTTGCACTCCATAGCCGAATGTGTTCTAAAATAAAGTCATCAGCTAAGCAGATTGGGCTGCGATAGATGACACCGAGTGCAAATGTACAACATCCGACAGTGTGTTCACAGCTAATGACTACACTAGTTCCACTATCATGGGATTCGCAAACGGAGGAGCGGATATTTATACTATTGGCTATGTATAGAAGGACGCCACCTCCTTTCCTGCATCTGTCTATCACTTCTTAAACAATGATATCCGGATAATTCTGGGGTGATATCGAAGTCATGGACTAACCAAGTTTCCGTCACAGCTACAATGAGTGGCCTTAATTTGTCCACTAATGTTCCTAGCTCGTAGAATTTATGTTTTAGACTACGGGCGTTGGCATATAAAACTCCTAGGGGGAACGACCTATCCACACAGGCCTTGGTAGCATTCGCTTCCAAGACCTGACTATTCGAAAACCCACCAATCGGAGATTTTCTTCACCGTTTTGTCGACGGGTTTCTAGTTCAGCTAGTACCGTCTTCCTTTTTATTCTATCTTCAAGAGACACATCCGGTCGCATTCGAATATCAGAGTTGTCGTGACTTCGAGCGTTACTTAACAGAAGATTATCTTGTTTCTCCGACCCTAAGATTACCTTAAGGAGTCTACACGGTCGGGGTAGAACACTGTCATCGGCTCTTTTACCTATTCTAACTAATTTTTTGACCTGAACGCCTTTAGTGTTATCTGGCAATATGCTACGGATATATTCTCCGAGCCTCTCTAAGTCATGGGTGTGTCTAACCTTAGGATCTGGATCGTTAGACTCTGGCAATTTACTCACAATAACATTCGATGATATTAAATTCCTCTCAGTCGCACTAGGATGATGATCTGCCGTTCTATCAGAGTGCGATAATGCATTGAGTGACTCAGACTGTGAGTTCCTCAATGGCTTGTCAACCAAGTGTGCTTTATCATTAGCTTTTTTTCCTTTCCTTTTCCTCTTTACTGCGGTCCATTTTTGGTCATTCAGGACAGCTGCATTGGGACTATTGGGGACGGTGACGGTTTTATCCGGGTCCTCAATTTCTACTAAAGATACATGATTACTCATGTCAATACCATGTGGTGATTTACTCCTCGTTTGTTGTAACGGAAGTTTCACTTCGTCATTAATTAGAGTAGGTTGTTCAGCGCGTTTTGTAACAGCACTTACAACACTGACACAGTCTTCACTGTCAGTGCTTGCGTTGCTAGCGCACCCACTATCTTTCTTTTTACAGGCTAGAGCCAATAGGCTCATAGCCTCTTGAATTAATGTCGTCTTGTTAGTACAGCAGAACATACAAAGCCAGTGCGAGTTGGGCTTAGAACATCTTTTGTATGCAGCTGGACTGAGACGGGTACACATCTTGTGGTACCATTTTTTGCATTCATCGCACTGCATCCCTTCATCTACGGGGAATAAACAGTTCGGCTGTCCACATTTGAATGAACTACCAACCATTGTAATCAGATTAGGTTTAAAAAACAATATGATCACAATAATAACACAAGCGTCAGAGTATATGCAAAAGAAGGAACCAAGAGACAAAGTTTTCAATAAAATTTCAAACCTTAACTGAATTAATTCAAGTTAAAGTAGACCAAGAATGCTTTTGATACAGCAAATACACAAAAGCAACGATAATCACAACAAGTATGAAAGTCACTGCCCTTTTTGAAACGGGCGCTGTTGTTCCACAGTGGGAGGTAAAGATTGAGGAAAAGTATGGAATATCACAAGACAGTTCTGCTGCATACAAAAAGTTTGAAAATGTAAAACTATAGATATTTCACAGACGAATTTGACAATATATAACTGGTCAAATACGGGAGTAGTTTCGGTCATAACAGACTATCACTATATTGAACACATCTTAAAAACCTTTTGTTAGCTGTTTTTCCTTTACAAAAGTTAAAAAGTGGATAGATCTATTAATTTTGACGACATCAATCTATGGATTCTAACAGTGGAATTCCGTTTGCAATAATTTGAACCTTTGATTTGTTTTAGTGCGCCTTTTTATTGTACTGGCCTCTTTTATGTAGTGGCGACAAAATGTATTCCGTCATTTACCGGATGAACAAACTTGCAAATTTCATTGGTAAAGAAAGAGATGAATATAAAATGAAGTAACCAGATTTTGTTCACAAGCTATTGCTTAAGGGCTTCGATATGTGCTGGAATAACTCACAAAAACAATCATCCTCTACACGAATTGTTAGATATAAATCTTAATCATGCTTTAAGGCTTTCCGTTAATGAAATCAAAACATTTCTTTCACTCATGGTAAGTTACAGAATTGTGCTTCACTTTGTAGGCAGAGGATTTGAAGTTTAGTGGGGTGAACTCATATGATGCTTTCACTGAAAAATATAATGGAGTTATTAACTTTTTAGTACACATAAATACGCACAACTTTCGTTTAAGATTGGAGTGCATGGAAAGCAGCGAAATGAATGCTGCTTATGATAATCTGCTCGCGGATATACATAAACGTCTTTTGCTCATCCAACAACATACATACAATATTGACAATTTTAAAAAGTACAGAAGAAAAATAGCTGACCTTTTGTTTGCAGAAAACAAAGAAAAATCTGTATCTGTTAGTCTGAAACCTCATTAATAGTAACATTTTACATAGAAATACTTTTCAGATACTGAAGAATTTCTTCAGCAGTATACTTTTTCGGATAACTCAAACACCACTCTTTGCGAAATACTCTCTTGGTGGAAAGGTTACGCGAATGTTCTGTTTTGTGTTCTTGACGATTTCTACTCGTCATCGGGCTTTGATCTTGTGAATACTCTGGTAATTTACCTTAGGAAGTTGTCAAATGTGACTCATTCCAAAGTACTACTGTCACAATTATATATTCAGGTTAGTAATGCGATATGTACGTAATTACAAACCTTTTTGAGTTTTATTTCAAGAATATCAAGTTCATAAAAGGCTGCAGTGTTTTATGTTTACATCTGAGCGGATAAGTGAAGGTTTTGTATCATTGGCTCTCGTGCATTTTATGTTCATTTCGTCATTGATTCAGAAGTGCAAAGTAGTTATAATCAAACACAGTTGGTGTGACAAGCCCATTTTTATTTTTACTCACGCACTTTTTTATAGCCATCCTTTGATTAGGAACAGAGACTTGATGATATAGTCAAGATAGCCAATAGTTTTCTCATGGTAACCCAGTAGAAGAGATTTAATTGTTTCTCCAGGTTATGTGCTCCTTATCTATTTATTCATGAGAACTAATAAAATTTCCATCAACAAAACTGTATGTGGCAAGCATTGTGTGCTTATTCATTTTAAACTCAAAAATTATAAACTTTGCTGTCATTACCGTATCAAGGAAGACGATAACTTGTAAAATATACCGCCTACGATCTCGATCCAATGTAACAATAAGTAAGATTTTAGTCGAGTACTGAAGTTTATGAGCGCTATCTTCCTAACTATTTATTGTTAGGCAAATGATCAATATTTAGGTCTAGACTGTGTTAGTGTTAAGTTTTCTCTCAAATAGATGGAAATACATTTCCCAAAACTGCACCACCGGACTAACGACTAATGATATTTTGCACAACCGTATACTGATTTTAAGCCTACATAGTGGAAATCTGATCTCTTTGACTAATAAATGTTTTTGATTCCGGGTTCATTAGCTTAAGCCTCGTGGTTATGTATTTTGAATCTTTAACAGGTTATTTTATATCATTTTCAGAAACTATTAAGTGATGATTTTGGAAGGCTTTCTTTACGAGAATTACGTAATATCAATGAAATTTTAAAGATATGGTCTAATGTATCAAAACAACTGAAAAGAATTCAGCTAAATCTTTCAACTCAGCTAGATTCTGCCAAAACGGATATTCATAGGGAAATATTACTTAGTGATAGTTCAAGTGACCTGTTGGGTGAACAATTCAAAAGTTCAAAAAGAAATCCTAGTACAGTCTTCGACCTGAGCTTTTTTGATTCCTTTTTCTTTTGCGATCAATCATATGAATACACTGTGGATACACGGCATCACTCTTGTAGCCCTCTTGAGTCCCACAAACCTAAAAGTAAGCCAGTATGTTGCCAAAGAGTGTGGTTTGGTTTTATTCACATTTTAAATAACAAGGAATATGTAAGAGAAGTTAACTTCAAAGATACTTAATTATCGATATGAAACACATTTGAACAATAAATACTTTTGTGGCCTTCTACAATTTGGCCTCTGGTATAGAACGTTAAGTATAAATCTGAATACATACATCACACTCCAGCTTGAATGGTTCTCAGAATTACTCCTTCATGTTTTCACACTAATTGCTACAATACTCGACCACTGGCCAGGGTTTTTCTTAAATTAGTTTGCCGAATTCTGTCTCCAGCACGCATGGCAACGAAATATGGGCATATTTTTCCCCGTTTTAAAAATAATTACATATTCAGTAACACATATCATGGCCCATGGAAAATGAACTGACCAGATGATTGCTAGACAGAAAGACTAGTATAAACCTGATTTATCTAGTTAAACAGCTGTTTAGGAAACGTTTTGCGTTGAATGAAAACAGACTTATTTTCTATCTGCACAAAAACCAACCTTTTTCGTCACCTCAGTTTTGTATACATTTGGGCCACAGCATTTACCGGATACATCAATTTATTACTTCGTCCGACGAGTTTTTTTTAAATAGTTGTACAATTTCAGATTTTGGAAATTAGTTACATTTAAAGCAGTGTCTTTGGAAGACCAAAAGGTTTTGATGGTAGTGAGTTGTCCGAGTTGGGTAGTTTAATTGCAGAATTGTCATTTTCTTTCAGAACGTCATCGAAGCCCATATATGTAGAAATCGGTAAGTAAATAAATGTTTATCGTAGAGGTTTGGCGTTAAGATAAGCTAGTCTGATTCGAAAGAATCGATGTTATGTATGTAAATAAAATTTATGATAAACAAAAAAGGCAAAAGGTTTCTAAATGTCCTGCTATTCCAAGTTGACAGCGATGACTTACCTCTTTGCACAGATTTTAATTTGTTTGGATCTCCCTACTATCTAATAGCAAGACTATCAGACAGTTTACTGGCGCATATGAATAGCCAAACATCTGTTTTAGACAACTTCCTTGAATACACCAAATATGTAAACTTTATGCAACGTATCGATGCAAACAAGGGAAGCGAGAGTATTTTTCAACAATCTTCAAACCTAAAAAGTTGTATAAGGTTTATATACTTTTAGAAAGTAAATCATATTTTATACTGGATACTTGGCCTATCCAAAAGATTATAAATATTATTCCATGTAGCCGTAGAATGGTGCAACTCTTTTCCAGGAAGTACTACGGTAAAAAGTTGAATTAAAACTAACCATTCATTTGTGAGGAACTTTTAAACCAAAGTCGTGTATTAGGTGCAAAGAAATTCACTCAACACCTTAAATTCTCATTTTTAATGCATTTCTGAAATTTTATTCATCCACATAAGGAATCCCAAGTTCTATATACAAAATGATTTATCGTTCTTTTCAATTCGTGTCATTGGCTTACGGTCTTAAGAATATCTTAGTTGTTTATCACTGTTCACATGAAGATAATGTCAATGCATTCAATTCGTTATTCTCCTTCACTAGATCTTACTTCATTTTATAATTACTCCATTATGTTATGCAATATTTTGGTTAGGTGTAATAAGGCCTATCCAAAGTATATGTCACTTTTAACTAATATTCATGAATAAACTTATACTTTTGGAGAACACACCATTAGCAAGACAGACGGAGTATTATTATTCAAACGTTGTTGTTGTTTTTTAGGTGCATTAAAAAAACCAAGTGATACATCAACAATTCCAGGTAAGACAATTTTTCACCTCAAAAGTACATTTGTACTCTACAATATAATCGATGTTTTTCAAAATGCTGTCTCTTACTCATAAGTAGATTTGATCTCAATCCAATGCACAATTACCCCGTGTAACCTCACATCATCTGTCGACTTGACTAAATATACCACGACAGTTGCTACCAGTATGAAAGCAGAGAATTTAAAACGGGAATTGACAGAGAATATTATATTTCAGGCGCGCTAATCAACAGAGCGAACCGAGAGCGAAGATGAATGAATTATTTGGTGATGTATTGTTTACTTTTATGGTATGTGTTGATCAATGTGGCTACCAATTGTTCTATGGATTGTTGAGTGATCCTACATAGTCCAGATTGTTATTGCAGCATGACAGATAAACATGTGAATAATCATGTGTATGTAGAATTTTCATATGAACAAGAACTTATAATTAATCATATGAGTAAATACTAACTAGTTAGTAGAGTTAAATTATTACATTTAATTGTCACATGATTGTTTAACCTCAAATCAGTTCTAACACAGGCCTGCACAGAATTATAACGTAAATTCATGACATCAATTCAGGTTACCCAGGTGTATGCTCTAGGTGAATAAGACTACTACACCCTACAATAACGCTTGATTTCCTGAATTTCGTTCAGAATAAAGTTATGATTAAACTCAAGTTACTTATAAGTAGAATAAAATAAGTTATAAAATTTCTTTTGAATTTCATTGGAGTCATGAACTAAAAGGAGACTTCAAATATTGCCTTAATTTTTGACCTCCAGATCATTGAAATAAACTTCATTGGAATGAACCTGAAAACTATTTGATAAGTTCTAACTTCATAATTCCAATTTATTTACTTCACTGAGTTGGATCGAAACTTTATTTATAAAAGTTCCACCACTCTTTGCATTTTCAAAGGAATATGCCTTATAGAGTTCCTAGTTAGCTCTATTTCTAATTTGGTCAGAGCTTGATTTACAGGATTTGAAAATGTTGGATTTCAGGAAGACGCGAAACAACTAAATTATGTGTCACAAATACCTCAGTATATTTAGAACAAAGCTACGCCAATTTTGCGCGCAAGATTCATATCCTCTAACTAAATGTTTTTTTACCATATCGTCTTATTTCTTACCTGTCACTTCTAGAAAAAGTGAATATTTCTAGAGAGGCAGAAATGATTCTACGGGAACCAGTTTATACAATGAATAAATCGTTAATGAAATGTTTAATTCACGCAACATTGCAAACTCTACAAGATTATGCAAGTCAATTACAATTTGGATGTAATCCAACTGCAATTGACTTTATGATGAGTAGTAAAACGGATTTAAGTCAATGCGAAAATAATCTGAATATTGAATATTATAACTGTTTAAATATACTTTTGCAAACTCCAGTATTTGCTACATCAGTACACGGACAGTTATTCAATCCATCGGATTTATGTTTTAGTGATTTTTGGTATCATAAAAATCAAAATATACTCGATGAACAATTCAATCCTGGTTTCACAACGCAAAATATGCTGTGTTCATGGAACGGTGCTGTTGGAACAGGAGCAGGTTTACCTATGCCTAGAATTTATATTAGTAAGGTATGTAGTGTTTTTAAGTTAAAATAATCACCTAGTATTGAGTTTGTACAAATTGGTTTCAATGTTATTATTAGAAATAACTCCCATCATAGATGATATCCTCCTATAATTGAAAAAGTTTATCTAAACGACGAAACTTCAGTATAACCAAAAACCAATTTTTTGATCCACATTATGTCTATCATTTATTCCCTGTGTGATTTTATCCAAATTTGAATGTTCTCTTGTTTAAAGTTCTGGTTCCCAACTTTCTGTTTTAAACTATAAAACATCATCTATACAAATCCATTAACTTGTAAACATTGTCCCGATAAAGATAATCAACTTGATAGGGAAAACAGTTGTCAGTCAGAAAGCTTCAGCTAAGACAAAATTGCAGTTTGTACTTCCAGAATGTCATCAAAGTAACTAATTATTTGAATTTGTGGATAACAGTTTGCTGTCGTTGTAGATTATTTGACTGAGTTATTTATTTTTCTTTCTGTTTTAACTTATAATCAGTCTTTACAGGCTTTTATCGCATTCAATCTTGAAATTCTTCTGCCGATGATATTAAATTTATTACAAACGGAAATCAATGAACAACAGTCCAAATCTCAATCAGACAACCGGGAAAATTCAAACAATAATTTTGAGAAATCTGATGATGATTTAAACAACAGGCAGTATACAGATAATTTAAATGATGATAGTCTGAGACCATTGATTTTTGAAGTGATCACTGTTTTACTTACTATTTTAAATGGCCATGGATTAAATAAGTCATCCAATGTTGATGTTACTGATAACTCTGCTACAGAAAATAATGAAAATAAGAATGATACTGTGGAATTTGTCGGTTTAACTGCACAACTGAGCACAATTACATTATCTGTTGACTGGGATTTAAATGGGATTGAAAAATTAGCTTTATGTATTTCAGATTGTTTAGGTCTGCGTGCATTGTGTAGCTTATTGGCATCAATATTTGATAGAGAAAATGAATTCCCAGTTAAATCATTCAAGTTTAATGGACAGCATAATGTGTAAGTTTCAAGTTTGGTAAACTTTTTGACAAGAAGAGATTTAAAGCAATTATACTGTAGGTTGTTAAATTAACCAGTGAGATGTATAAAAAGAATTCATTCCTAAGTTAAGTGTTTCCTGGGCATTAGTTAATTTTTATAATAGAGTTTTAACTGCTGATGGATGTATTAATGCGTATGTACACATTTGGAATTCATAAATCTTGTTTGTGAATTCAGTAGCATCAACTTACTAGATGAATTCACTCAAGAACATTTAATTCGTGAATACTAACATTTTTACTAAATACAGTCTGGAAAGGCTATTTTCTCCAAATCCGACAGTTGATCTTAAGGATGTTGATAATAGTTCTGTTCAAACCTTAAACGTAATGAGCGTCAAATAGTTCAAAACCTGGATCCAAGACTACTTATTCATTAGTGTCTTCTTTAAGTAAAACTGATCCCAGTGATATGCTAACTGTTAGTTGTAAGTCGATAAAGATTCCTTAATTTCTAGTGAGATCTTAATAGTTGGTTAAGTTCAGCACTAATGGGAGTGACACAATTGTATACCAATGATATAGAATTATTAGCATGCTATTAAGTGAATCAATTACTCATTGATTAGTAACATTATTACCTCTTAGTTTAAACATCAGTGTGTAGTACTGTATTTAAATAACTTATCTACATTCATTTTGGCTTCAGTTGTTATTTGTCAGCCATCCAATATACTCAATATACAACTCTCAAAAACTGTCCATAAAACTGCTCTACGAACTGGAAGGTCTAGCACTAAAATACTTTAATAATTTATCAAAATTTCAAAGCATATATATATAACTTGAAATTCTACTATTCTATTCTGATTGTGGCACACTGAAGATCTGCCTAGAAGCAGTAAAACACAATGTCTAACAGCTCAACAACTAAAATAGCTTCAAATGCCTACCGTTAACATGATATTAAGTCACTTCTACTTATGGCCACATTGCAAATTAATCGATAGAATTCGACCAACTCTAAAAGACTAAACACATACAACATTGATTTGTACTTAGTGATCAATCAATCATGAAATGCCATTCTTTTCCAATATGATTTATGGAAATAAGCTAATATATTGAGGGCTTGATAGCGATTGATTAAGTGTATCTTCATCACAATGTGATACTAACTTTTACAGACTTCGGTTTCATATTAATCTGATCATTTGATTATTTATGTCACTAAATGATATTGTCTGGTCAATAATAAAAGTCAAAGGGCATTGGAAAGCTGTCGTCTTTTTTTATTTAATAACAAGTCATTATTTATCAGTGACCCATCTATTAGAATCATCCTCAAGGTACTTGGACTTTGTGACTTTCAAGTCATTCATCTAAGTTACCGTGACTGATTTCAGTGATAAACATTTCTCAGTTCAAATCACTTTATAGATTCGCTTCACAGTACCGCAATCTCATATTCCGATAAAAAGCTAAATCTATTCAACACAGACACGACATAAGTCAGCGATAATACAAAGGAAGTCAAAGAACAATGTCTAGCTATATTTTGAGTTAATTCAAAAAGAAAGTACGAAATTTCAGTTATTGGCCACAGAACTTGTGGTTATAAATTTCAACTTGAAAGGAAGTTAATCAATTATCTAACAAATATCAACCAACCCAAATTAGTTATGTACTGTTTCGTATATCACGTTCATTTCGACTTTTCTTCACTTCTACAGAACATCCCTCTTCTTTGGATGTGCAAAAGAATACGATGTTTCAATACGTCTACTGAGTGAACAAATCATCGACATCAGTTTAGTATATTACTATAATATTGGTTTTACAATTGAAGAAGATTTAAATTACTTAGATAAACTCAAATTACTGTTGTTGCCACACCAATTTAAATTACAATCAAACAAATCGATATTAGGCACTCAATCAGATATTAAACATTTAAGTAAACCTATTCAATCAATATGGTGTATTTTGTCCAATATATGGTCAATATTAATTCAAACATGTCCTGGAGGTTTAAGTAGACAGATTATGGCACATGTTAGTTCAAAAATCTTAGAGTCTGCAGTACAACAACTTGATGTTTCTAAAATAAATTCGGGTTTAGATTTTTCTATGCAGCTTAGGTAAGTAATTATTTTAATGACTTCTGAGTTATAAATGTTAAATTTAGTAATTACCGAATGATTGATAAAACTGACCTTATTAAGTTTTTGATGAAATTTCTGCAGTGCTTATAATCGCGAAGTGATATTGATATGAGGGTCATTGAAAGCCATGAATCACGTGCTGTCTGCTGACTCATAAGTTATGAATGCATAGCACTATCTATTCAGGTTTAGTCTCTAGTATTATACTGTCTAGCCATTCAGTTGGCATTCAACCATTCAGGATTTTTAGCTAACCGCCGATCTAATAAAATACAGTACTACAAGAAATACGTAAAATAGATGTCATCGTCTTTCCTTGTCACTACTGACTAACCGTACACTACTTACTTACTTACTTACTTACTTACCTACGCCTGTTACTCCCAATGGAGCATAGGCCGCCGACCAGCATTCTCCAACCCATTCTGTCCTGTTCCTTCCTTTCTAGTTCTATCCAAGTTTTGTTTATTCTTTTCATGTCTGTCTCCATTTCTCAGCGCAATGTGTTCTTTGGTCTTCCTCTTCCGCTTCGGCCTTCAGGATTCTATGTGAGGGCTTGCCTTGTGACGCAGTTAACTGCTTTCCTCAATGTGTGTCCTCTCCTCTTCCAGTGCTTCTTCCCAATTTCTTCCTCCGCTGAAGTCTGGTTTGTTCTCTCCCACAGTAGAATATTTCTGATAGTGTCTGGCCGATGGACACGAAGTATCTTACGTCGACAAATGTTAATAAATACTTGTATGTTCTGGATGATAGCTTTCGTAGTTCTCCAGGTCTCCATCCCATATAGTAGAACTGTCTTGACATTTTTATTGAAAATTCTGACCTTGGTGTTGGTTGACAATTGTTTTTAGTTCCAAGTGTTCTTTAGTTGTAAATATGCTGCTCTTGCTTTGCCGATCCACCTCTTCACATCTGCATCAAATGCACCATGTTCATCAATGATGCTGCCCGGATATTTAAAGCTTTCCATATTCTCCAAAGCTTCTCCGTCAAGTGTAATTCTATTGGTGCGTCTTGTATTGTATCAGAGAGTCTTGCTTTTCTTTTTGTTTATACTGAGACCTACTGCTGCTGAGGCTACTGCTACACTGGTCATCTTCTCCTGCATTTGTTGTTGCGTGTGTGATAGAAGAGCCAGATCATCTGCGAAGTATAGATCGTCCAGCTGCATCCTAGCCGTCCACTGTATCCCATGCTTCCATCCAGATGTCGATGTCTTCATGATCCAGTCGATGACCAGGAGAAAGAGAAAGTATGAGAGTAAGCAACCTTGCCTAACACCGGTCTTTTCTTCGAACGGGTCATTGAGTTGTCCTCCATGGAAAATTTGGCAGTTTATTCCATCATAGGAATTCCGTATGATATTGACTATCTTTTCAGGTACGACGTAGTATCGAAGAAGCCTCCATAGTGTCGTCCTGTTCACGCTATCAAATGCCTTCTCGTAGTCGATGAAGTTGATGTAGAGTGATGAATTCCATTCAATTGATTGTTTCACAATGATCCGTGGTGTTGCGATTTGGTCTGTACACGATCGATCCTCACGGAATCCAGCCTGTTGGTCTCGAAGTTGGGCATCTACGTAGTCCTTCATTCTGTTTAACAACACCATGTTGAAGAATTTTCCTGGTATTGAGAGAAGACTGATGCCTCTGTAATTCTTACACTTGCTGAGATCGAGTTACTAACCCTACATATCGTATACTATTTGCCAACCCTGAGGCTCAGTTAGAAAAGGGGAGAGAAGGCCAGTCCATGAAATGACTTTGTAGAATGAAAAAGGTCTCTCTAGGTCTGGTATCTGTTGGTTCTTCATTAGTTACTGAACAAGGCCCTAAAAAGCATGTAATTCACTGACTTGTAATTTTACCCCTTAATGGTGATCCTGTTGCAGAACAGTCTCCATATGTTAAAAAAAGTTTAACTACTTATAAGTAGAATCATATTTTCACAAAATATTGCTCAACAGTCCAGCAATCCCGTACATGGTATTTTGTTCATACAACATACTACTGTTCACCTGAGACCTTAGATTCAATATCCTGAAAGCATTTATCAAAAATATAATCATTTCCCACAAATCAATAAGTCTAAAATAATATTGACTCTATGTCCAGATGATATTCGTTGGACACTATTACCAGTCTATCTTGTTCTTAGGCTTCAGGAAGCAGATCATAGTGATGTAAATTATGTTTGGGTCTGTTTTGACTGACTTTGGGTCAGTTCCATCGGCTCTGTGTTCATGAATCCCAGTCGTAAGGAACAAGAAATCCACCTTCAACTCACCAGTCTATTACAGACGAGATAGTCAAATTATGCAATATTTATTGACTGTATCATTCCCCTGGATAAAGTTGACTAGTTGGGCGGTATGTAAGCGCATCTCTCTTAAACTGATCTACTTATGTGTTATTTTAATCCGTTATAGCTTAAATGGATGAAATTGACATTTCGTATGACAATCGTTTTCATATTCGATTTACAATCTAAAGCGAGCAGTATTCAGAAACTGATAACTCTTAGTAGTGCCTTTCATGATATAAGGACATCATTAAGTCACAGATTCAAAATGATAAGACCCAGAATTCTAAATTATTAATAATTCAGACTGCAGCTCGATGCGTTAGAAGTTACTTTACTTGAAATTTTGATTTATGATGCAACAGCGAGTATTTATAATGGGTAATTTATTCTATTATTGAAATGATCAGCGTAAATCTATCTAGAATGGTTGTATTTCCATCAAGTGTTAGAACTGACAGGAGTAGTCATTATTCATTGTTTGTTAGCGTTATTTAGTACAATTTATTCGTTTGATTTAGTATACGTTCGTTTAGTTATGAAATGAATTAACTGCGGAGTTAAATATCTAATGTAAACTGACAAATATCAAGAATCAAATTCACGCTATTGGCTGTGTCGAACTTGATATAATAACCTTAAATAGAAACTATACAAAATATGAAAAGACCTAAATTTTATTGAGTAAATTGTTGGCTCTTTGGCCGTCGCTTTCATCAAAACTAGTTTCTATCCTAGTTATTATATCAAACAAGAAAATTTTGTATTTTTTTATTTCATTTTAGAGATGAATTATGGTTAATTCTTGGTATTGCAAAATTCGCGCTTTATCGATCAGCTGAAACAATATCTGAAGTACTAGGTGTAGGCAATCTATCAGTTGAGTTGAATACAATTCATACAACAGGTCTACTAACTAGTCAAATGCTATTATCATGTTATACTCCAAGACATTTGTGGGAAAAGTAAGTAATTAAAATGGTACTTCCAAAAATAATCGTTCATTAATGATTGCTTTCGTTCATGATCGATAACACCTAACACTTAGGTAATAAATTACACATCGTGCTTATTCTTTTTTCAGAATCATGTAGTGATCTACTAAAAATCGGCGTGCCCTATCGCGTATATCAGTAAAATTTTATCTCTAGTCTAAAGTTGTAACTAATTTTAAACCGAAATAAATCTTGGTTTTCTCCTTCACACCAACAGGACAGTAATTTTCCTTAGACAAATACCTACATTAGATACCCTGAGAGTGTCTGTTTTACAGGACGTCAAAACTTCTCTAAGCAAGAACACGTGAGTGGCCTGACTGAAAGGTGAGTATATCGCCACGTTAACAATCGATACTAACAACAATAACAAGAGGAAATATACAACACATCTCATACCTGTTAGATTATCTGCTAGTCTGACTAGGTAAACAACCAATCACTAATTTTCTAGCCCACACTTACTTATGCCCGTTATCACTCATCAAGGAGCATAGGACGCTCACCAGCGTTCTCCTCCAAACTCTGTTCTGGGCAATCCTTTCCAGTTCTTTCCAGTTGCTATTCCCCCCTTTCATATCTCCTTCTATTTCTTGACGGGATGTGTTCTTTGGCCGTCCTCTTGTCCGTTTCTTTCAGCATTACAAGTTAGGGATTGCCTCGTGATGCAGTTTGGGGATTTCCTCAATGTATGTCCTATCCACTTCCAACATCTACCAATTTCCTCTTCACTTGGAAGCTGGTTTGTTCTCTCCCACAGAAGGCTGTTCCTGATGGTATCGGGCCAACGGACATTGATTATCTTACGTAGACAGTTGTTTATAAATACTTATACCTTTTTGATTATGGTTGTGGTAGTTCTCCAAGTTTTAGGTCCGTACAGTAGGAGTGACTGTCTTGACGTTTATATTGAAGATTTTCACTTTGATGCTGGTTGACAGTTGTTTTGAGTTTCACGTGTTCTTCAACCGTTCGAATGTCGTCCTTACTTTGCCAATCCCTGCCTTCATATCTACATGAAATCCAACTTGTTCATCGGTGATGATGCTCAGGTACGTAAGACTTTTAACCTCTTCCAGAGCTTCTCCACCGAGTGTGATTGGGTTGGCTGATGCACTCTGTATTGTATTCTATGATCTTGCTTCAACCCTTGTGTATGTTAAGGTCCACTAATGCAGAGGTTGCTGAGACATTGGCTGTTTTCACATGCATTTGTTGGTGTGGATAGAACAGAAAGGCCAGATCATCTGCGAAGTCCAAACCGTCTAGTTGCATCCAAATTGTCCATTTTATTTCGTGCTTCTCCTAAGATATGGAGGTCTTCATAATCCAGTCAACCACTAGAAGAAAGAGGAAAGGGGAGAGTAAGCACCCTCATCTGACTCCGGTGCTTACTCAAAATGCGTCTAACAGCTGTCCTCGATGCACCACTTTGCAGTGTAGTCCGTCGTATGAGTTCCGGATGGCGCCGATGATTTAATCAGCTACTCACTCCATAGTGTCGATGAAGGTTCCACAATATCCTCCTATCCACATTGTCAAATGCTTTCGCATAGTTAAGGAAGTTAGTGCATAGTGATGAGTTCCATTTAATTGATTGTTTAACAACGATCTGAAATGCTGCGATGTGGTCTGTGCACGATCGATCACTAAGGAACCCTCCCTGTTGATCTCGAGGTTGAGCGTCTACTACGTCTTTCATCCGGTTCAGCAACGCTGTTGAAAACTTTTCCCAGTTCTGTCATTGGTGTGATGCCTCTATAGTTCTCACATTTTTTTAGATCTCCTTTCTTTGGTATCTTGACGAGGTATCCTTCTTTCCAGTGTGTCGGTGGCACTTGTTCTTTCTTCCAAATCTTCCTGAATTGAATGTGAAGCGTACTTTGGGTTATTTTTATGTCTGACTTCAGTGCTTCAGCTGGTGTGTTGTCATGTCCTGCTGCTTTTTCCCTCTTGATTTGTCTGATAGTCATCCTGATTTATTTGATCGTTGGTGGAGTAGTGACATCTCTAGGAAGGTCTGTGTGTGCTGCTTCGATGTCCGGTAGATTCAATGGAGCTGGTCTATTCAAGAGTTCCTCAATGTGTTCTACCCATCTGTCCCTTTGTTCTTGAATTTCTGTAATTGGCTTACCCTCTCTGTCCTTGACTGGTGTCCCTGGTTTACCATATTTCCCTGACAGATCCTTCGTTGTGTCATATAGTTGTCTCATATCTCCTTCTCTTTCCTCTGTCACTGCTAGGCCTTCCACATATTTCTGCTTGTCGGCTTTCATGCTCTTTTTCACTTGCTTGTTTGTTTCTGTGTATTCAGCTTGTACCTTGACTTCCTCTGTTTTTTTCTACTGTTGTTAGTCGCTGTCTTCTTGTTCTTCCTTTCTTCAATCTTGTCCAGGGTTTCGGTGGAGATTCATTATTTATGATGGTGCTTGCTGAGGTCAAGAACGTCCTGACACGTTGAAATTAGTTCTTCTTTGATCCCTTTCCAGTTGTCCTCCATGGCAGTTTCTTCTTTCAGTAGATCCTGTAAAGATTGGAACCTGTTGTTGAGAGTTATCTTGAATTTGTTGAGTTTGTTAGTATCCCGAAGGAAGGTTGTAATGCTGTTTCTCCAGTTGTGCAGTATTTCTTTATTTTCAGTTTCATCTTGGCAACCACCAGGTGGTGATCTGAATTTATGTCAGCTTCTCTCTTTGTTTCCACGTCTTCCACTTACCTTCTGAACTTTTTAGTGTTTCAAATATGACCGGTCTGTTCCTCTGTAGTGTGATCCGGTGAGGCTCATGTAGCTTTGTGTATGCGCTTGTGGGGGACTATAGTGTTCCATTAAAAGCCACTAATCACATTGATTTCATATTGAATTCATATAGAAGTTGAATAACCAGATCTGAATTTGATTTTTCTTATCTAAGTATTCAATCGATGGGAAGATTCAAACAAACAATACTGAATGATATTAAGATGATTGCCAAAATAATAGCGTTTTTCAAACATACATCAGACTTTCGACTGTAGTCTACAAATAATACTTACCTATTCATAGTTTGCCTCACCTCATTTTTATGCATCCATTATATTTTGATAAATGAGAAATCTAATTTAGATTATTTGCATCATTTTTTTTTCAAATTATAGACTTCATGAAAAAGGATTTTACAGTCAAATAGCAGAAAATACAAATAAAACATTTGATTTCAGTTTATCTAATTGGTTAGCGATTATCGATTCCAATCTATTCCATGATATTCCAATACATTTAATGTGAGTATTACTGTGTTGCTTGATTTCTGTTTATCATCAATTTAAAACAATATTTTTTCGCTAAAAAAGGTTAAAGAAGAATAAGGGGATAGAAATAATTCACGAGTCAGAAGTATGAGAGATAATTGTTCACTAAATAGATGTAAAGAAACAAAGTATAAAGGTTATAATAACTACGACAATTATCTACCACAGACAATGGATGAAAGTTGTACAATATCGTGAACTGATTGAAGTTAGACATTAACACCGTTGAATGTCAACTCAGTGAACTAAAGGTCAATCGTTCTTGCGAGAGAATTGAGGTAGTGGGTTTGATTCCCGGATACGGCGTTGTAAATCCACACTACTGAAGGGTCACACGCCGGGATTAAGCAACCGTCTAGTGCTTACAGGTTCTCACTTGTGGCCGACCTAAGACCAGTTCGTTATTTAAACTATGAAAGTTCTACAATCTCCACAAATTTCCCTATACTGATTGGATAATAATCATGAAAAATCGTTCGAGAATAATTATAACTAATTATTGTCTTAAAAAATACAAAATAATAATAAAGATAAAACAACATACTGGAAAGTGTTAGGAACAAGTAAGTGTAAGAGATTGGACTTATTGTTCTGTTTATAAAGTTCACGGTCGAATCAATGAGTTCTCAAAGCATCAGCAGTGAACAAAGCATTCTATTTGAGCTCCCTTTGATTCCACTAGCTAAACAGTGCAAACGAATTTGAAGAATGGCTTTTGTAGGCCAAAGTGCCCAGAGTTGATCAGATATTCCTGTATTAAGCGACTGATTGTTTTACACTCTTTCTAAAGGTCACAAAGGGTAATGTTTTGAGATCTATTAAGAAAGTGTTCGCTTAGTAAAGCCAGTGTAATCTGGTCAATAAAAACCCAAACAGGAATTTGTTCTTTGACACACCTATGAATGATAGGCCCGCTGGAGAAGGTGATACGGAGCTTAGCGGCATAAAATGCATTCATCAGTAGATTTTCCGGACGTTCGACTGTGGTATTTTTTTCAACTCAATTTTCATGAAGTGAGATTTTTTAATGTCAGTGATATTTCAGGTTGTAGTTTCGTTCAGTAAACCTTAGTGATTATTCGGTCATATACATCTCAGTCCTGCAAGAGACCAACCACTAATCGAATGGCTCAGTCGTAAAGCCTCAGACTGTGGAGCTGGGCTAAATCAATCTGAATCACTCAGGAAGAATCATTTCCTTTAAGACTGTAAGTACTCCTTGTTAACCAGCGTCAACAAGCACGAAATCTATGTCCAAAATTTCATTCCAAATACTTCTAATCACCTTTCCCCCACTAAATTTCTAGTTTTCCATCAGCTTGAATAAAATCAGGAGTAAAATTAAATTAATCTATCATTCCTTAAATAATTTATTCTGGTTAATAAAAAATTAGAATAGCTCTATACTTGTGATATTAAATTAATGAAATCTAAATTAGAAATTCATGAATAACTTTTAAGTTCAAAAGCTTCTAGTTTACAAGCGAATATTTGGCTTATCTACACAACTTTTTTATTTTATTTTATTTATTCTTAGGAAAGAATATCCTCGACAAACTGAACTAGAAATAGAAGTGGAACTATTTTCCGTATCAGGTCATTTTGATCCTGTTAGAATAATTAGTGTAAGTTTGTAACTAAAATCATTCAAAACACGGAAGTCATTTACATCATATTGCTGGAACGAAAGACATGAGTAAAAAAAACTAATGATTTCTATTAAACTCACAAATATAAGACACTGACCAGATGTCCTTTTGTGAAGAAAAATATTTTTTCAAATAATTTTTGTTTGTATGAGACATTCCCCAGGGAAATATGTATATGATACAATCTTGGTTTGAATATTGATGTGCTGGTCAACTTTATCAATGTTAAAAATGATATGTTAAATAAAAACAAATTATTCCATTAAACCGAAACTTACCACTTTATCTCCTCAATATTCTTATTTTGATCAAAAAGATCCAAGATTTTCCAAGACAACCCAATTTGTTAGCCTTAAAGACGAAAGTTGGTGAAAAAAATTCAAGTAACTTGAGTAAAGGCTATCAAATTAAAAAGCAGCAGTGCCTAGTTCCATACAAAGCACACATGGGTCACTACAGGTCAGGACAGATCAATCAGTTTATTCTTCTTCCGTCACGTCTTGACCTAGTCAATTATTAGCTTATAAACTTGACTGTATTTTATTTGAGCGTATGTGTATGTACTGCTTACCTTATTCATGACATTTGTGTCATTCATTTTTGTCTGACTATAATTAGTGATCCACGTCCTATCAAAAGGAATTGGCATGCCTGGGCCGGAGGTAAACTCCATGTAGTCATCTAAATGTATCGTAGTTAGTAAATACGGTTTTGTGTTCGTTTATTTAGTCACTCAATTGTAGATATTTTCTAATAATCCCTACCATAGAATTAACCGGCAATGTAACTTTTGCTATGTTGTAATTTACTCCCATCATGACTAAATGCGCTACACTTGATGCGCCCGCAGCATGATGGAGTGGTATTTTCTTCATAGAAAACTATATATTTCATGTAATCCAGCAAAAAGGATAGAGAACAAAACATGCCCTTCATCATGGACTACGAGAGCGTGAGTATTAATTACTCCACCATTTTGGCTGGTTGCTAGGTTCAAGGTCAAAATTATGAACGAGAGTGGAGTTTATCTCTAGTCCTCCGTTTCGCTTTCCTGCTTTTCAATTTTAATGTCTGCCTGAGTAAATAGGTTCATGAAACAAATCCATCCTACTCAATCCGTATTTGGCTTCTTATCACCACCATCACACAAAAGGCCACTAAAAATCATTGTTGGCTTTAGATTATTTTCAAATGTCAACAGCTGTTGCTTGTTTGTCAAATAATAACAGTTACTATTAGGAAAAATACGTCATTAAATATTCCATATTTACAATGACAGTTACTTTATTTAGTGATAGGTTTCTCTTAGATTAAACTTTCCGTTTCCTGTAGACATTTTGGTAACACACTTTTCATGATCTGACTCAGTTGGGTTAAAATCATTGTACAGAAACGACAGGTACAATTCTGATAATCTTTAAACTGTGATACAGTGAGCACATACAGCTTTTCTGTTTCATTTTCATATCTAAACTGCAACATTAAGACTACGTCCCAAGTTCAACAACCTTTTATCGCATTGGGTTGTGGAGATTGTTGAGTTTTTACTGAGACCATAGAATGATCATTGTTAGACAACCATTGGAAACTTGGGAGTACTGGACAGCCGCCCTGTCCTGGTATGGGACTCCTCAGAGGTGTGCATCCACGATCCCTCACGCAGGACGCTAACATGAGACCTCCGATGTTGCGCGCGGACACCTCACCTCTAGACCACTGAGCCTAAATTCGAAGGTGTTAGTATCTAACTTCAAATGGTCTACGATATTGTGTTAGGTGGGTAACAGTCTCACACACGACACAGATGAACTATATTGGTCACAGATTCTCACTAGAACTCCAAGAACTATCTTTCGAACCTGGTCACTAAAGATTACATGATAATTATCAGTATAGGGTGTAGACGTTTAGCGTTCGCGCAATACCGAAGGTCCTCGCTTCGGATCCCGTGTGCCGAATCATGGATGTGCACTGCTGGAGTCCCATACTAGGACAAAACAACCGTCCAGTGCTTCCAGGTCTAACACTGACCGGTTCACGATATCAATTAGAAATCTTATTATTCATTTGTGTGTAATACATTTCAGTCATTTTATGCACTTTTTCATCATATTTTGAATAATGCAAAATTTCACTCTTGTCTTCTTTACTCGGACCAATATGAATTCAACAGTTGTTAACTGCCTGGAATTACAAATTAAGTCTTTTAATACTTGAATCATTGTATGCGAATCAATCAACTGATATTTTAACGAATAAGGAGAAGCTTGTAGCAAAACAACTGTTCATCTCTATGCTTCGAATACTGGATGCAATACCAGAATACACAGATTTTTTGGGCAAAGTTGTGGAGTTAGTTATAATCCCAGAGTAAGATTATCAATAAACAATAGCAATTTACTTTGATTTGTTTAAGACAAATTAATGATTATCAGAAATTTGCAATTGAACATTGGAGCAGTTTATGTTGGTATTTCTTAGATTCGTACAATTTTAAAATGAGTTTACTTTGATTATATTAAAAAATGTTAACCTGCTTTGAATAACATTCCTGTTTAAGCAATATCTTAATTTCTGCTACTAGCTAGTTCCGGAATTCCAGATAATTTCGGTGAACTGGATAAATTTGTATGCATACCATTGCATGTAGTTTTCATGTATTTCTTCTATTTACATCTTCAATTTTTTCATTATAAACAACTAAACTAACGAGTATTCAATATCTGTTTGGTCTTAGGATAGAACGAGTTAAGAATTTAGGGAATTGAAGACCGTGCAGTATAGTCTGAGAATTTCAGTTGGACGATATAGATGGTTGAATCATGATCCAGTGGTTAAATTGTAAGAATACTCAGAACAAGACCTACAGATTTTGTGCTATTTATCAAATACAGTTGAAAATATTGGGTGTTATTTAGTACTGAAATAAAAGGAAAATAGTTTTCTAATTCTTCATGGTTTTCACTGACTCTTCAGTATATCTTTGTTTATGATTGACTCGTGATTATACTTGTTATTGGCTTCCGAAAATGTTCATAATCAATAGTATAAGTTAAAATAACAGTCCTTAGCTGTGATAAATCTGGAAACAGAATACACATGGTTTCCTTTTGATACAATAACCGTCAATAAAGAGTAATTTATTTACCACATCTAATACTTATATTTACATTACAGAATAATTTCCATACTTAGATTGAAAACAAAAAATATTTACCATTACAACACATCGACTTTATGTATTACAAATTTATATTTTCTTTCAGGGATTTAATTTAGAATCCCTTTTTGACTTTTTTTAGATCAGAAAAGTGTAATTTATCAATCCGGAAATTATTAAATCATGAAGAATGGCCTTTATGGTTTGATGCATTAGTGCAACTATTGGCTGAACCACTAGGAAAGTAAGTCGATACTTGTGTAATTTTCTCTTATCAATATTTCTTTACATTGAGTGTAGGATGATCTCAATGATTGGTAAATTAATATTTTCAATGATAACTTTAACAAACCTACATAATGAAATATTCTACTCTGATTGTTAATTCAATGGATGTTTAATAATTGTCAATTTGTTTCATAGTCTACCATTGTTCAGCGGTTAAAAGTCATAGATATTACATATTAACTGAAATATATTCCTCATTTTAAAAAGCCAAGAACAGATGTTTTATTTTCAAGAATTTCAATAACTTGTATGTACTATCTTGATCAAATGCGGTTTAATATTAATTCATTCAACATAATGAAAAGTTCACAAACGTGGTTCTTAAAGTCATTCCAAAACTGATCATCAGATAGTGAGAAATTATCTACATTGCCAACTGATACCTCGAGCGAATTTAACCTGTCAGCAATAAATAAATTTAACAATGTTTTATGAGTAGATCTCTGGTTCATAACCTGCAGAATAAAGCATTCTGATGGTCATCTTCAGTTAAAATATTTTATGGAAGTTTAGGTTGTCCTTTTTAGTATGATGAATGTAAATATTTTGGATTGCATAGTTGATGGGACGGCTTCCTAGAAGTGCGACGAAGCCTCCAGAGGCCCTAAAGCAGCCAAAGAGATTGGACCCAATCAGCATATGATAGAGCTTCCTAAAAATATCAACGTGGAATGCTATGATCGGACGGTAGCATAACTTGCCTCCTTGTGAATTGGCTGAATTGTAATGATGTTATACTAATGCTAATATCTATAAATACACATGGTTTTCTGTACATTTTTATAATTATCCAACATTCATTTCTCCTGCTTCTTCTTTCTGATTTGCGACTGTGTGGGTTTTATACGTTCGAGTGTCGTTAGTTGTATATCGTATTTCTGCGTTAATCAAGTAATGAACGTAACAACAGTATAATAAGCAAACCATAGTTGTGAAATTTAAAGGTTCTGTTGATTACCACTCAGTGATCTGTCAATGTTCATTAGCAGCCCAATGATAACGGATCAGATTGTGAAGCTGTGTGATACGGGTATAAATTACTCAGGGAGCATTGGTCCCCCCTAGGTTTTAGGTAATCCCAATTGACCACCAATCGAGAAACTTCGACTCATTGTTTTCTGGTGATGACTTTCAATCAATTAACACCAAAATTCAAATGTACCTATCTGTGAAGACAATCATACTATTCATTCCAAATGAATTCTGTATAGATAGGTATGTTCAAGTAATTAAACGTTAAACATTGTTACTAATTTATGCAAATAACTATCATATAACAAGATTATTTTTCTACAATATAATGGTTCACAAAATCGAAGATTTTGGCAAAACGAGAGATGTTTTTCAGAAAGACAGTAAACTTTGAAGTAAAAAAATCTAAAACACAGTACAAGTTATGAAACTACTTAGTTTAGTAAATTTACTCCTCATTTTAGTGATTTACTTAACAAAACTTACATTTTCATTCTGTGGAAAGTACTTCCCACTTACACTGTTTTACTCACATTATCATGCGATAATAAAAATGATAACTTTGTTAATCAATATTCAGTTATCAAAATTGATTGATCACTGGGTGGTGATCAATGTCATGCGTGTCAAGTCCTTCTTAGTGCTGATCGAATGCTATCGATCAAGTTGCAGTGTGGCCACTAGTCTAGGTGGCTCGACACTGAGTGCACTATATATATTGAGATAAGATGGTGTTTGGAGGTAGTCAACAGGAAACCCTGGACCCGGGTTTCGTGTTACTTGGCACTCGTCAGCAAGGTTTACATGTAATCTTGAGGGAACTGATGCTCCCTGACGCATTCGATCCCCTGTCACTCAGCTTCACAGTCAGAGACGTTACCACTGAGCTACTTAGTTATATATAACTGAAAATTTCCACTACATTTATTCTGGCCAATAGCTATGGTGTTTTTTTCATATTCTAGAATATGGATTCGTTTCAAGGAGTTAAAAGATCAAAGATTAGAAGAAGATGAATCCTTTCATGATTATAAACTAGTGGATAAATTAAATGAAAATCCAACTAATGTATTCATTAATTATACACCAAAACGAAGAGTTTATTGGGATCATTTATTTCCATCTGGTTATATGCCATGTGGATGTCTATTACCTGAACCATTTAGTTTTAATAATATAAAACAATCTCATATATGTACATCATCTATTACTGACATAAATCGTGACAATAATAATAACAATGGTGATACTAATATATCAACAAATAGTTCAACGAGACATCAGTTGAAAATCACTTCAAAATTTGAATTGGAAGAAGAAATTGGTAATTATGCGAATTATTATCAAAAATGTGGATGTAGTCAAGAGGTATGGTTTGAATTAGCCTCCGATATTATACGTCTACCAGTAATTAATTGTTCACCAGGTTTACAATCAGCATTGACTAAAATTAATGATTTTTTCATTACGTTGACTAAAAATCAATCGGTAGAATGTTTGGAACAAATAAATACTAATAATAATAGCAATTCAATTGATGGACAGCATTTTGCAATACAATTAGTAATATTATATTTAAATTATCGAATACATGATGAGATTAAAACAAAATCATTGAATAATGAATATAAAACCCAACAACAGTCTGTGATTGAACAATTACAATATTCAATATTGTTGGAATATTTGAAATCATTGTTGAATGTAAATGACGAAAGTGAAGGTTAGTCAATGTTTTAGTTATGTAATTAATCAAAGAGTTAAAATCACTCATTTATAATAATTATTGACGTAAAACAAATGTAGATAATAAAGCTCTCATTTGATAGAAATTACCTATTAGGTTCTGGACAGTAATCATATCTGTATAGCCATCCAATCGGGAATATAGTATTCTGTTTACAAGCACAGTTCATTAATTTATATACTTTAAACAGCTTTTTTTTTTTAGGATCAATTTAAAATGGATAATATTTCTGATATTTCAGCTTATGTTAACTGTAACCGTGTTCAGAGATAATAGTTTCTAGACGCAGGTTTTTTTTTTAGCCCTCACTTGAAATAAATAAATAAAAAGTTACTTATAACTAACGTATATTACAGATTCTTAAGGTTGACTTCGTAAACTACTATTTTATAATAAAATTTTGACAATGAAACTTAGATATTATTGTAGGTATCATTACCAAGTTTTGATTTAATAATTTTGAATAAATTGAGCATTGGGTAGATTGTTATAAATAAATTAATATATTTGTAATATCCCAATGAGTAGAAAAATAATCGAATTGGTTATTTATTCTCTGAAGAAGTGGCTTACACTGAGTCACGAAACGTCAGAAAATCTAATTTTTCTACTCATTGAGATATTACAAATATATTATTGATTTAGATATTATTGGTTGAATCATCACAATATAATGACCGAAAATCAGCTTTCTTCAATGTTAATCTTGAATATTTCCATTTGAATATGGTTTTGAAGTTCACATCAGATAAATTATGTGCGTTTGTATGGGGAGATTCGACTTCAATGTGGATAATTAAGACTAAAACTCCCCCTGTAGCCCCTCTGAGGGTTACTGACAGTCCCAGGCCCGGATAAAGTAGGAGGGTTGAGCATGGGATTAGCGACCCCATTCCGTAGAAAACAAACTAGCTAAAAAAAAACCTAGGCAGAAAATATTATTTAAGCCTCCAATTGAGACTATACTTCTAAATACGAACAAACTATCAATGCTAGTGATATAAATCGATAAAACGAAATCAATGAAATTTTACCAAGGAAGTAAAGACTGTACATTATTTATCGATCAGTAAGCATAGGAAGTGAATTATTAAACTACTTATTTTAATCTACCCTCTTGTTTTGAAACTCGCTCTGTTTTATTTGTGTATAAATTTCAGAAATTAACGCGTGTAAAAAACGTGTGAGGTCATTTTTATCTGAAAGAATTAACGATGTGAAGTTAGTTTGTTTTTGCGAGATAAATCTTTGATAAATTTTATTTATTATAATGCTAATTTTTGTTTAGTATGAAGATTTCTGGAGATCGTTGTATTTTAACAATCGGATTAACGAGAAAATCTGAAAGCACTAGGAAGCCATATTGTTATAGTATTGGATTCTTCAGCACTGCTCATCCACGATTCCATACGCAGGACTGGAACTCAGGACCTTCAGTATTGCGTGGACACTAAACCTCCAGATCAATGGGCCAGCATGTAGGATCGTAAACACTCATTACTTCAGAGTCCAATACTAGGAGGAAACAGCCGTCCATTGCTTCCAGGCATTCAATTGTGGTGTAGCTTAGATCGACTTGTGAATTCGATTAAATTTTTATTCATTCAAAAATTTCTTCACTTCGACAACATGAAGTAACATAATTTAACAAGCTGATGCGTAATATACAAGTATTTTGTGAAAAATAATTAGTGGGAAATATGGAATGATAAATGTTGTGTTTTACTAATATTCGTAGTGTCAGAATCGACTAATCCTTATAATATTGAAGCCAGGAAAGAGAACGCTTGAGACAATGATTGGTAGAAGACATATATAGTCTCATTACTCAGTAATTTTTGGATAACTAAACAATTAAAAAACCATCGATAAAATTGAAGATTCTCAACACTATATTTTAGATACAGAAATCAAAGTCGTCTTATAGAATTACTAGTGACAGGTAATGTTTTATAGCCAAGTATGTGAAAAGACCAATTGATAGTCTGTTGGAAACGAATCTGCAAGTGGTTATTAAATCTTGTCATTCGTTATCTACAGAAGAATGAAAACATAGACTTTTAACTTTCTTATTATATCCTTTGATGGGATGTACACTATCGCTTCTGAATATCAAATTATTTAGTCTATGTTTTTATTCTTCTATAGATAACTAATGGCAGGATTTAATAACCACTTGGAGATTCATTCCCAATTGACTATTAATTGGTCCACTTAGTCATATGAGAATACTCAACCTGATTTTATTGAAAATATCTGTTAGACGAAATCAGACCTCTTGAAATATTAGATGATTAAAAGTTGGCGGTAAAATATTCTGAATTTCTGTCTTGTGTTAGTTGTTGCTTATCCGTTAGACGTTAGTTTTGATGTTGGTTTAACTGTTTCAAAACTGAGTCACTCCACGTTATATCCCGAAACTTTGCCTTTGAGTCATTCTGTACGCAACGGACTTCTTGTAGGGTCTCCTGATAATTACATCTAGCCATCTAATATCCCAACATAGTGTACTCGACATCGAGTCATTTTGATTGATGATCACATTACAACTTGATCGATAGAATTCTAGCAGCATTAAAAGACTGAACAAACAGGACAGTGATCACCAGAAATATTAATAAAGCCTAAATTTCCAAACATTAAATATCTTTGATTAGTTAAGAATGATGAATGTTCAAGTTAATCTCTTGATCACACAAAACAACACAGAATATCGTTATCATAGCCAAAATTTTAACCATTTTAACATTGGAAAGGGTTTTTGTGGGTATAATAGTTATTTTAATATTTGTGATAATGAATCAACTGAAGCTAGACCACTATGAAAAACCTGTAAGCACTGAACGGCCGTTTCATCCTATTGTGGGGCTCCTCAACAGTGCACATCCACGATCCCGCCTCGCGAGATTCAATGTTAAGCGTTCGCTCGCGCGACTGATAAGTCCTGGGTTCGAATCTCACGAGGCGGTATCGTGAATGCGCACTGTTCAGGAGTCCCACAATAGGCTGAAACGGCAGTTCTAATATTATTTTAATTGTATGTTAAACAATATTTTATATTTATTATTTCTTTTCTTCACTTTATTTATAGTGATTCCGAATTATTTATCCAAGGAAATTCCAGTAGAATTTTTAAAAATATACAAAATCTACGATTTGTACAACATAAAGGTTAGTTAATCATCTTTAGTAAAATAAATAAATAAATAATGAAATTGTTATTTTCTTTTTCTAGCTTTATTAGATTTATTTTTTATGCATAAATTCTTACATGCAAATACTACATGGATTAGTGAATTGATCCGTAGTCAAAGACAGTACTATAAAACTTCAATACATAGTAAACCAAATTTTCAATTAGATGAATCATTCATTCCTAATGTTGACATCAAATTAATTGATTCTATAGAGGTAAGTTATTATTATTATCATTAATAATTTATACTGTTTTGTAACTTAAACTAATTTCATAATCATATCGTACATTTAACACTTCTATTATAATCAGAAGGGGTTTTGTGGAGATTTCAGTATCTTCATAGTTGAAAACATGAGTCATTTGAAGCTGGACCACCATGGAAAACCCGGAAGCACTGGACGACCGTTTCGTCCTATTGTGGGACTCCTCAGCAGTGCGCATCCACGATCCCGCCTCGAGATATTCGAACCTAGGACCTACCAGTCTCGTGCCAGAGCACTTAAACGATAGACCACCGAGCAGGCATCCGACGGTGTTGATGTCTAACTTCAACCAATCCACAAAATTGAGCAACCATTCAACAATGCCTCCAGTGAGTTGATATCTCACAACAGACCTGGTTGAACTCCACTGGTTACTGCTTCTCACTAGAACTCCATGAAATACCTCATGGAATCAGTCACTAGTGAGCATATGGTCATTAACAGAAGGGGCTTTTGTAGAGATTTTAATAATTTTATATAGTTGAAATCATGAGTCAACTGAAGCTAGGGTTCGAATCTCGCAAGGCTAGATCGTAGATGCGCACTACTGAGGAGTCCCACAATATAACGAAACGGCCGTCCAATGCTTCCAGGTTTTCCATGATGGTCTAACTTCAATTGACTCATGCTTTCAACTATGAAAACACTTCTATTATAACAATTTAAAATAGGCACTTAAAACTGAAATTATAAATTTCACAAAACATATTTTTATCCAATGAATGTTTATTTTGGTAAAGCTTGAAAATATGTACAATTTTTTATATATAATATAATTTTGTCATCATAAAGGTGTGCTTCAACAATTTAAGTACTCTAGAATATTTCATATTGTGGTGTGGTTTACTTATATCCACATAAGTAGTATATGGTGATGGTCAGGCATAAAATGTATTTTGGCAGAAGATCGATAAGGAAAGAATAGGAACGAAGTGCAATCGGTATGAAAATGAATGAACAATCAAATCAGAGAAGACAGATTGATATTTGGAGAAGGAAAAGTTAAGATTGAGACAATTGATTGTTATTTTGCAAATTAACTGTTTATTGTATGGTTATGAGATTTTAGTGAGATAGTCTGTAATTTGTACTCTTCTTCACTACAATATGTTTAGTCATGATGTTAAATCTTATTCTACATATCAATTCAATTCATAAACTCGTATATTGTATTTACTACTTCCTAACAGACTGATCCCTCAATAATTTTCATGATAAGAAAGGAAGTGATGATGAAGTGATTTATAAGAATGATGATATAAAAAAACATATTGTGACCGATAATGAATAGTTAGACTGAGTTAACAAGAGTTTTTTTTATATATTATGTTTACCATTTGTTGAATTTAACTGTGTGGTGTATATGTGTCATTGACTAAGTTTCTATCTTTCTGGTCGTTCAGATCTAGTTCTATCACGAACTAGATCACGTTCGTGTTTAGAAACATAAACATTAAGTTTTTCTTAGTTTATCTGACCCTCAACAGAAGAGAATTATGCTACCTAACTAGCCAACTATTGAACCAGTGTTATGATTATCAATCTCTATTGACATATGTTATAAAGATCACTAAACTCAACCATTTAGTAACCAATCAATACCTACGGATACCTTTGATTAACATACCTTCTACATAGATAATCAGAATGAATTTTAACAAATTTGAAGCCATCATGTAGCAGTCTGACCGTCACATTTGTGATTCTCCGGATAATATTCCTTTAAACAACTAGAGTAAATTCAGTATCTCGAAAATTCTCAATTAATTTTTCTTCGTTTATTATGTTTTAGGAAGTAAATTGGGAAAAGATCCATTGTATCAATGTTGGTCTTCAAGAATTATAAATTAAAAACCATTATGACCAAATTTATTTACTATTAAACTATGGACGATTAACACATGGAACACATTCATTATTGTCAATCTGTGATGAAAACAATCAAATAAAACATTTCAAATATTGAACTACATTTTTCCAGGGCATAATATTTATAATATGAAAATATCTTACATTCAGTGTTGGTAAATTACATTTATGAGCACAAATTGATTTCATTTGATATTCATAGAAAACTTCCTCGTAGCAACAAACTGTTTCAATAAAGTTCAAGAGAATAGTTTTTGTTCTTTTTTTCCAACTATTAATGAAGCCCTCGATTTTCTACAAGTTTACCATGCCAAACACTGTTAGCTTGATGTCTATCTAGTCATAGTGCAAAACCTGTTAAGACATAGTTGGTGAAACTAAATCACAAATAGCTAAGATTGAGGAGTACTGGAAATGACTTTAAATTATACATACCGTTCATTTAACAATGCGTACATAATTCGTTTACAACAAGGATCTTTCACTGGAAAGGCAGTCAAATTGTTATTACATGTGATGGTTTGATGTAGCTTATAAGACTTTTCACATTCGTAATCGGTCTTCTCTACAATAAATTAAGGCATCATACTTTGCAACCATGCATTCATGCGAGAGATCATTATCAGTTTTAGTTATTTATGATTCGACTTCGAATAATATTTGTATTCAGACTACCTGAATGGTAGATAAACTGATTTTAAATAACATCATGATTCGAATGCCATATGCATTTAATTCTCGATATTTTTAAGCAAAGTGGCTGCTATTCAAATCGTCGATAAAGGTATCATTGAACTGGGAATTTAGTTTAAACATAGCAAGTAAATTATTTAAATTACCTACTTAATAGAACTCACATCTGTAAAAGTGCATACTTCATATAATCCCAGTATCACACCTTGCCATCCTACCATATGAAGATGATGCCACAACATTTGTCTTTTCAAACTTTAGAGATTTGACCAGTAAGTAAAAGTATCATTTACTTAGCTATTTCAAAGGTGAATAGAAGCTAACATTAATTTCTAGATTTTGAGTTAAAACTAAGTTGTATTCTGATAAGTCTTCTAATCGAACTCTAGATTCGGTTCCTAAGCACCTCTAGCAACCCCTAGGCTAGATCTACACAGCAACTTGAACACGAGGGAAAAGGTGTGAAATATGGAAGAAACGCTTTACTCCAAAGGCTCGTTCATGTACAGAAAATCTAGGGTTTCTATATTATTATAGATGGCCTTGGGTTTCTGGTATATTCTGGAACGCTACTAAACATAGTAGCAGTATAAGTAATTATCTAATCCAAAACTCGACATGTGACTTTTCACTTTCTAGATGTTTCTGGCAAAACTCTTAGTGAACGCTGACTGAATAAGATACTTCTCGGTGTTTTCAGAGCGTTTTTTTTGCTTTTTCCGAGGAGTTTTCTGGATCTCCCCAACATAGTCTATATGTTGATTGGACTATCTATATTATATACGTAGAGATAAAATCGAAGGTATTATCTACTTTTCTTCTAATTACTGTATTGATTACAAATTTCACCGTTTAATGTAAGGAAACAGTTCTTCCTTATCAGTCATCAAACACTTCTCTCTGAGTAGTGTATAAAATTATATTCCTTTTCATCATATAATAATAGGAAGACAATTCACATGTAATACCCTCAGACTGAACCTCGAAGTTATGGATATTCAACTTGCAATAGTATATTTACGGGTTCTTACGTAATCACTCTTATTTCTCAATAGAAAATATATAAATTCTACTGGGTTGTTGGTAGATTAGCTACAGTTTTCATAATTATCCAAATTCACATGTTCATAAAAATGGAAGAAAAATCGTACAGAATGACAGCAAGGAATGTATCTTGATACTCGAACACTTCGTTCAGCAGTATGGCAAACTATAACGCTGTCTTAGTAATACTTATATGCTGAGAAAATTATGTAACTTAGAACACCTCGTAGTGAGGAAAGCGGGAATCCCCTTCTATACATTCCTCTTACTCGATTAGGACTGAATATGCTTGAGGGGTGAAAACTTGTTGAATTAAGAAAATGTGTCAAAATATCAATAACTGTTTGTGAAAGTGCACAATCAACCAAGTATAAATTATAAATTTCCATATTAACACTGGTGTAAACTACAACTTTTATAATATATAGTTACGCTACTGACAAGTAGTAAGTAGTGCAATGCTCAAACAACTTTTATATGCCAGTCAACTAACCACAATTAATGATTGTGACCAGGTTGGCGATCATTATTTTTCGTGATAAGAAATAATAATGATTTGTCTCTTGTATAAAGAAATAAAGTAATTAAACTAGTTCTTGCGAATAACAGTGTAAAAAAACTAGTTTTAAAAACAACAGATTAAATTATCAGCATAAGGTTAGGGAGATTGTTGAGTTTTTATTGAAATCATGAAACGATCAGTGCTTCCAAGTTTTCATTAGTAGTCTACCATTGATCGGTTAACAGTCTCAATAAAAACTTAACAGACTAAATTATTTGTTAACAGCATTCCTGTGAGTTCTATGTGCTAAGTTGTCAAATGTAAAACTGCTTGAGGATATTATTAAGATCTATATATTGGACAGTTATCCCACTTTAATTTTAACAGTTTTCACACTAGAAGTTTCTAAATAAAATGAAGTGCCTACTGACTAGTTATCTTATCACAAGATCACAGTTAACACTTGTTTAAATGGTGTGTGAATTACTAAACATTTTTACTGACTTACAACAAGAATAAGATTGGAAGTTATGTGATCCAAAAG